CATTTTATAAAATCCTCACATGAAATATTAAACTATTTTATTTTATTGAACATTACAGGTAATGCATTTAATGTGCTTTTTTCTGAACACAAATAAAATCCAAAATATAATATAAAAATTGATTTATTAAATCTTTTAGGCCTAATTGTTTTAAGTTTAGGGGAACATTTTGTATGCCTTTCATGTTAACTGATCTGGGTTAGCCATCTGTAATATGTAAATATGCACTGCAACATTTGAATTATTATTGTAGTTTTCAATACTATATCTAGTACTGTGTTGTTAATTCAGGATTACTTATTACTCATTGCAGGTGACACAAGAAAAGAGAGTCTATCAAAAAGAGCATAATTGATCAGTTCAACCCAAAGGAATGGTATGATCAGCAAGAGTGGCGACTAAAAGCATTACAGTTTGGAATAATTATTCACACGAAAGACTAAGATAATGCATTACATATATACAGGGTGTCCAAAAAAAAACAGGACCGTAAGAAAGTTGAATAACTCGGTCAGTTTTGCATATTTTGCCTTGAAATTTAAGAATTATTTAGTTCATTCAATGTGAATTTTGTTCTGAAAGTTTGATGATAATCTGTTTATTGTGTCAAAAACTACAGTCCTTTACAAAACATGCTCAAACTGGGCACTTCTCCTCTCTATGCACAAACAAATCCTACGAACAAAGTTGTTAATGACCCTTACCTATACACATTAATGTGGATGGTAAATATTGGGGTAGTTATTGCCCTCTTAAGATTGTTAGGGGCCTGTCAGTATACACATAGGCTTTGAGAAATCCTCAAAGATAAAAATTTGGGGGATTTAGATCAGGCGAATGAGCTGCCCATATGGTTTGCGTTCTGCAACTGATGAGCTGACCACCAAAGCATTGCCTAAACCATTTCAGCATATCATTTGCAGTGTTGGGGTGGTATTGGCTTGTTAAAACCACTGCTTAATTATCTCCTCAGATGTCCCTTCTGGTGCTTAGTGACCTCCAAAACTTGGTGAGAACTTACTGGTCCTTGTTCATGGTGATAGCAAGTCCCCAGTCACCTTCGAACCAAAAGGGACTGATGATTCCACGTTTCCTCATTGCCACCCAGGGAGTGCATTATTCAGAATGCAATGGATGCTTTAACACTTCATCAGGGGGATGTAAGCCCCAGTAGCAATTGTTCTTGGAACAAACTTGTCCATTCAGAAAGACATGTGTGTAGGAGGATCATCAACAGCTTTGTTCACCGGATTGAATTGTGCATAGAGATGAGATTTGCACATTTGGGGCATGTTTTGTAAGGAGCTGTAGTTTTTGACTCAATTGGTAGATTATTATCAAACTTTCACAACAAAATTCACATTGAATGAACTAAATAATACTGAAATTTCAAGGCAAAATATGCAAAACTGACCGAGTAATTCAACTTTCTTACGGTCCTGTTTTTTTTTGGACACCCTGTATCACAGTAATTTTACTATAAAGCTTCCTTAAAGTTAAAAATGGCAATAGAAAATTTTGAAAATGAGTACAAGGAAAAAGAAAAAAACTGGTGAAAGGTATGCATATTTTGAATATAATTGTGAAGGTTTCCTAATGCATTCAGACGCCTGTTCCACCATTTGGTTCAACGCCAGGAGAAGTGTACCAAAATCATGGAAACTATTTTGAGCATCTAATTGATATCAAATAGTGTACTAGGACTATAAGACTGACCTTTATACAGGAAGCAGCTTAGAAAGATATTTATAAATTGACTTATTAACATTTATTGCGCTTTAAATCATCTGCCCCACCTGCCCAAAACATGAGTTACCATAGTAACCATATTTTTGGTCCAATAAGGGGAAAGTGCATGAAAGTTGTTGCATTAATTGCTAGCTGTATTCATTTGACATATTCTGTGAAAATTTCAAATAAAGAATCACAAAACTTGATTTTGCATTTTTAGAGGATTTTTGTTATCAGAACTTATTGATCGACCTAGTAATAGTATACATGTATAAAATTTTACAATAGAAGGCAAGTGAGATTCAAATATTTGTCAGCTGATGAGATATGTTTAACTCTTAAATGGATTTTGGACCCCAGAGCACATTCTTTGCAATAATTTTATAATAATTTTGATAATTTAATCTACATGAAATTTCATCTAATCGTTGTTAAATCTATTCCCTTTCAGATAAAACAACCCAGATGTAAATCGCATGAACTTTTTGTACAATCCTAGATCAAAGAACATCACTGTCACCAAAATATATATATTCAAATAATATATTGTTATATGTAAATGCTACAAAATGTTCAAAACACTTTAGATACCGGACTCTTTATGATTAAGTTTACTCATATATTCTTGTTACAACATAAATAATCTATATATATTATGAAAGGTAAGTGAATAACCTATTAATGAAAACTGAAACCAGAATGAAAAAAGTTATTTGGTTGCAGAGTTATTGTCAAATATGTGAAATAAATCCGGGGGGGGACCCATGGGGCCAGCCCCCCCCCCTAGGTTGGGCCAAGAAAAAACAAAAATTGGGCCCAAAAAATTTTGGACCAAAAAAGGCCTTCAGGCACCAAAAAGTGTGCCTTTTTGGTCATTACTAGGCCTTATAAGGCCTTATTTTTTAATTTCAGGCCAAATTTTGAAGAACATGGGCCTCAAATTTACAAAATTTGGGCCCACTTTTCGGTTTTAGGGGCCCAAAATTTTTTATGCGCAAGCGCGGAAGTTTTTTTCTATGACCGACAATTTGGGCCCCCCCTTGTTGGTTCCTGGATCCGCCACTGCAAAGGGTGTAAAACATAAATCCAATTAAGGGCTAAATATTTTCCAGGTGCATTGTACATGATGCATGTTATCCATTTCTAAAAATTTAAGTAGATCCCTTTGACAGATTTCTTTGAAACAAAATAGTTCTGTATTAAAAAAAAAATCCTTGCTTAAACCCTCTAATTACTTTCAACTACTCAAATCAATTGACCTGATTTTAGCAAAAATTAAATCAATAAAAGACCATATTGTTTTTCCAAGTGGGAAAATGTCTAGTTAACTTTAAATAAATTATAACTCAGTGCATTTATTAGTAGATTGCTTTATGACTGAGTGTGTACCCCACCTCTGTGTACAGTTTTTCAAATTCTAAATCACAAGGAAAGGTTACCCAGCGAGGGAGATACACAATCTTGAGATAAGAGTAAAAAAGACCCCTTGTGAAGTCCCCTATATCTTTATAAAAAACTCTAAGGGATTTGCCTGAAGTAAAAATACATCAAGGACTGTGTGGGCCATGTGTCACGTAAGAAAAATACTAGTATGATGCCCATTTGAAGCGATGTCTTGCAAGTAGGCTAGCGATCAGCTGTTTCAATGCAAACAAAGCATAGGCATTATGTCCTTAAAAATATCAGATGTGGTTCACATATTCAACATCTTAAAACATATGGTCTAGTATAAAACGGTGGGTTTCAGTCTTCATATTGATGGAGTAATCAAATAAATATAATATTCATCATTTTAGACGGAGTAATCTTTCAGAATAAGCAAAATATTTGTACAGAAAACAAAACATTATTTTTATGGCCTTATATCCTGGCACTTGTACACATTCCTGAAGGGGGTCAACTCGGTGCATTCAATGACTTTCGGCAGCGTGAGGAACAACGATTTACAATTGCGTAAGTAGCCTACTTTATTTTTTCATTCTTTTGGACAAGATTTTTCTGTAAATGTGATAATCAAAGGGTGAAATGCCTTTGAATTGAGCATTCAACTTACCCTTGGCGTCATCATTTTCGGCACGGACTGAAATCGTTTGGAGATCCCCGGGTTGGAGCTGTGCAGACGTTATTTACAAACTGTTATTTAACGAAATCGTCTGCCTCTTTCAAGGAGAAATGTATGCTCCCTTCCTGTTGTCGCATTCGAGAATGCAACATTGCCTTTGCAGTATTTTGAATTTTTATAGATTTCTATTCAAATTTCCCGCGAACTTTTTTGACTGAACTTGGGCGATAATAGAGGAATGATGTCATGCGCCATCTATTGACGATTTCGGCGTTTTACTCCATTCATGTGCGCAAAATAATCAAATAATCAGTTTGGTTTAAACTTTGCTGCACATGCACACAATGTATGCCATGTTTTTTCTAGTGATTTCGTTTCATTTCATGGAGTTTGCGTTTCAGTGTAACTTCCGCAAAAATGGCGGACCATGGATTGAATTAACAGGTAAAATCACTTCGAAATTTCAAGAGAACTTTTAACCTATAATAGCAAAACTTTTGTTTTATTTGTGCATTCTATCTTATCTATCAGATAAGAGTCTCAGGGGTATGTAGGCAAATTTATTTTGGTAGGAGCACTCTGTTTAGTTTGAAAACGCACCCTTTATTATTATATATCAGCACTATAAATTGAAGCGTCTTGTTGATCTTTACTTTTCAGATCACTTATGAATGGTATACAAGCCATCCAGCATTGATAATAGGCTAAAATAGTGATACTTTGTTGGAGGGAGCTTGTCTGTCCAAATCTGAATGATGCTTCCGTGATTCCAGAAATGTAACGTCAACATTAGATCTACATGTATGATTTTTGGACACACAGGCTCCCGGAACAACTCAATACTCTTTGATGCAGTCTATAGCTTATTTACTCGAACCAAACAGGTAGAAATAGAAAGATGAAGAACTCAACTGTGCAAGATCTGACATGGGGAAGTACCATTTTGAAGGGTCGGCAGGGTGGCAACATTTTTTTTGAAATTTTTCAATTTGGTGTCTATTCTTCAGAATTATTCTTTGATCCTATGTGCAGCTTTATAGTTTCTGAGTTTCACTTTATAATTATACTTTCATAGGCTACATACAAGCTCAAAAATTCCTGCGAAAACCAGCAAATTTTTTTTTCACTTTCTTCAGAACGACACACAAATAAGGAAAGTTTGAAAAGGCAAAATATTTACCTACGACTTCAAAATGACCTAAGATACCTTTACGTATGGTACCGCACGTTTGTGAACATGTTGCCCAATCTGTTCTTTAGTAGAAAGTGCAAAAAACTGAAGATATTTTGCAGAATTCCGCGTCCTCCATCAAAGTTCCCCGGATGTAACAACTAACTCAATTAAAATTCAGATAGCATGCTTTAAATAACGGCTAGATATAATTCATTAGAAAAACAGCGTTATAATTGTGAGACATAGGAGAATATCATAAATTTTAGTGTCAATTATTCATGATATTTTCCTCATAAGATTCTTAATAACTTGTATTTGTTGTTATTTAAAAACAATAATCGCTATATAATACTAGTTCTCCGCAAAATGTCTACATCTCGCGCTTTCTCGGATAGTTCTCGCAGGTGTGTGAGATTTGAAAAAAATATGAAAATTTAGGAATATTTTCCATTTACTGTTCTTTGCTAAGTCAATGGGAAAAAAAGTAAGTAAACAAATCGAATCACTTAAAAATCATTAAGCTTTTTACTCTACAGTCTGTTGTTCGTCACAGAAATGTAGTCCTACTCAGGCCTGTCAACCTGGGTACACCCTTCCAAATAATGTGAACACAAGTACAGTGATTTTTTTTATTCTGGGAATCAGTTCATATGGTTGAAATAACGAAAGAATGTGATGTAACCACGTGTCTACTTACCGGCTTGTTCTATGTCATCCATCGGACTAGGTTATATCGTGGAACGCAGCCAAACACGACACTGAAGGCAACAGCATATCGATCTTGATCTTAGCCAAATTTTTGGAAATTTAGATCGTCCATTTTGCAAGCTCACGTGACTGACACGTGACACGTGTCTGATCACGTGACTAGTTACTGTATCGATCATGTGACTTAATGATGTGTCAATGACGTGTCACCCAACCATGTCTTCAAGGAAAATGGAAGTTAATATTTTGGAAAATGTTTTCCGAGCATTTGCTACTGATTATAGAAGGCACAATAACGAACGAAACTGCTAAATTGTATTTCGTGCCTAACAGGTGCAGTACGCAATGAAAGAAACTGCTAAATTGTATTTTTAGTCTGCTTATTGATATATTGATTCATAAAGACCTGAAATGATGCATTCAAATAAGACCGCCTCCTAAATGAAAACACTACACCTAAGGTGGTGAAAAAGAACGAACTAAAGTTGAAAGATCGCAACGTTCGCTACTTTGTTCAATTCCGGAAATCTCCAAAGGGCTGCAAATGGGAAATTATTTAGATTTTATAACGGTAACCTCAGAATACTGGCTTCATTGTCATGTTTGGCTGCGTTCCACGATGTATCCTAGTCCGATGGATGACATAGAATAAGCCGGTAAGTAGACACGTGGTTACATCACATTCTTTCGTTATTTCAACCATATGAACTGATTCCCAGAATAAAAAAAATCACTGTAGGCCTAACCTTGGTCCAAATATGAACACCATGGTCTAAATTTTGAACACCTTGGTTTTGGCTTTGCACCGCTTAACTTCAACAAGTCGGTCAACCGAGGTCAACAAGAAAGTTTGAAGTAAATGCATGACAGCAATTCGCGTGAAAATTCTGAATGAACTGAGTGTGGCCATAGAATATAAATAAGACACTCTTCGTTGTTTTGAATTTGCCTTAAATTGCCCAGTCAGCCGTCTTATTTTTATTGATGTAAACATAATAAACCCACCTTCATTGATCTTTACATGCAGTCCTAGTTCATACATTTGTCTACTTCGCAGGATGTTTATTCACAAAAGAATTAAAATGAAACTGAAAGAAATATTTTGCAACAAGCGGCCATCTTGACTAAATCGCTATAGGGGAAAAAACGCATGCTTTCAAAATGGAGAACGAGACGACGTCTATTTTAAATGAAAACGTTTAAGTAATATCTCATCAACAAAACAAGCCGTTACTATTTCAATTCATGAAATATTAACAGAACGATTTTTAGAATATTACATGAATTTATTGAACGACAGCTGAAGATTTTACAATAGTTCACGGTGTTCCAGATAAAATCACTTTTAGCCAAGAATTGGCTAGAGACTCTAGTAATCTAAAACTGTTTGTGTTATACGCAATTCACATGAACATTCCGAACTAACTGCATTCATTTTTCCTGCATTCTTTTTTTGATCTGATATATTTTTTTATCTGAAATGCTTTTTGGATGTGACTTCAATTCATCAAATGTGTGACAAATACGCAAATTGCAGGACAGTTGAACAGCCTGCCTACTCTAGGTGAAGGCCTACCCTAGGCCTATTTTTCATTTTTCATGCATCATCGTATAATGCACAACTCAGTGTCAGTGACAAGGCAGGGCAGTCAATCACAGTTTGATTCAGATTCTATTAATTAGTCAAAAAATGTAATTTAGTGTACATCCTTTTGGTTTTATCTCGTTCCAAGACTATCTCTACGTTCTAGTCTTGCGAATGTCTTATTCTTTTGTCTGTGTACGATTACAACATGGGAGAATTTTCTACGCTTCTTACACTTAAGATACCTATTTTAATAGATTCCTTGGTATTTTATCATTCTTATTCTTTTGTCTGTGTACGATTACAACATGGGAGAATTTTCTACGCTTCTTACACTTAAGATACCTATTTTAATAGATTCCTTGGTATTTTATCATTCTTTTCGTGTAGTTGAATCCACAATTGTATGGGTTTATCGGCAGAACGAAGAGGTTTTCGTTTTTGATAGCAATATCACACCCGGTGATCGTAGAATTGGGACGGAGGGGGGGAGCAGGCAATTTCTGCTAGAAATTTCAACAAATCTGGAAGATTTATTTTTTAAAGAAGAAGTTTACTATTGAATTGCTAAATAAATAGGCTCACGGTATTGTAAAATATGTTAGGTATTCTAGGATTTTTTTTCGATACTCTTTTAGGGTATAAGATCTATTACAAAAGGCGCAACGCACCAACGTGCAAAAGTCAATGTTGTTGCTATAAATGAAGCAACAATGGTGTACATGACCTGTAATAAAGAAAATTCAGAAATTGCCTGCTCCCCCCCTCCGTCCCATTTTTACGATCACCGGGTGTGAATATTTGCGTGTAATATTTAACTTATTTCAACCGTCAAATTCCTCCATTCAGTTCCCGGCATGCACCAGTCATAAGGGAAATCCCTGGGGAATTCCCCTTCCGACATTTTGAAAATTGCTGATATATTTCCGATGTAAAAACTAAAATCTCTTCGTTCTGCCGATAAACCCATACAATTGGCGATCTAACAACATAAAAAGAATTCTAAAATACTAAGGAATGTATCGAGGTAGGTCATTTAGGTGTGCAATGCGTAGTATTTTCTCCAACTTTGTAAAAACATTGACTGCCCAATTATACACACGTACGACCACAATCTAAAGGGGTCGTAGGATGCGATAACTTTTGGTTGACTTTTCTGCCAAGTTCCTGCAAATATTTCCTATTGTTGACAAAAATAAAAAAGTCCAGCATATCCATATACTATTTTACTTTACATGCCTTTCAATCTATTGATAATTATTAATAAGATAGATGAGAATATCTTTCAGTACCAATCTTCCCAGACAGTTTAAGAAATTCCGCTGTCTGGAAGTTGACCAAGAAAAGCTGTAATCTGATTGGTTGATGTGAATTCAGAATTAGACAAGAGAATAACATTTTTAGACAGATGTCCGGTGAATTTGGCGATGAGATTTTCTCAATTTATACATTGGTATAAATCGTTTTATTAATAGTTATACTCTTACAAAATCACAATACTGACTACTGACAATTTCAAGTATGATAGCTTCAACTTACTTTGAGGGTATGACACGAAAGATTTATGTGTCTGTAAAATGTGTTTGGGATGTGATGAAGATTCACAATTTATGGGTCTCCAAAAATATAATTCAGATTAATTTCTCGGAACTAAGCTAGTGTAGTGCCAAAATATTCTTACGCAAAATACAAGTAAAACTTACTTGGTCATTATATTTCAAAATATCATTCAAATTCTTCCTTGTGGAATATCATTAGTTACATCATTTGTTGTCTTCTGTAGGTATGACAACAGCAGAACTTGAGTATAACTATGAGGCATCAGATGAGGCTTCCGAGGGGGAACTCCTGGATCGCAGTCTGTCATGTTGGAAAGGATTTACATCAGTTACCCTAGGCATTGAAGAGGAGTTTACACCCATACCCCTCTGTCTTTGTACCGCTGCCAGTATTGGATCATTTGATGTCGTGCGCTCCTTGATACAGAAGTAATTATACACCCTCATCGATTAAGAGTGTTTTCCATATTTTTGTCATGTGGGGATATTTATTAATGAATATCCCTCCCTTATTAATGAAACCATTAAAGAGATACAAGTAATATTGAACATTGATAATAAGCAAAGGTTTTGTTGTGATAAAATCATAGTTAAAGATTTTTGGTTAGTCGGTCATAGTTATCAAATGCGTTTAGTTCCTAAAATAGAATGATGTATTTATAATATTGCATTCTTTTTCCTTCCTATTTTCTTACTGAATGACATTTTGAAATTTTTGCATGAACACTGTCATGATTAACCTTCACCCGGCCATGATGCATTTTATTAATTTCAGGGGTAATGTGGATATCAATGCAAAGAACAGGGGAGGCTGGAACCCTTTGATGTATGCCAGTTACATTGGACATGACACCATTGTGCACTTGTTACTAGATGCTGGGGTCAGTGTGAATGTTAGCAATACAAAGGGGCAAACACCACTCATGCTGGCAGCAAGCTGTGGCAATGAAAGTGTGGCATACTTCTTGCTTCAGGTAAATTATGATGCTCTAATAGAGGGTTATAAATTTAAACACCCTTTTATGAATTTTTTACAATTCAAAGGTTTTGAGGGAGGAGGGAAGGTGCTATTCAGGTTGTGGTAAGCAAATCTGATAAGGTGCTTATTTAATTTTTGTTCAAATCAATTACTTTTATGTTGTATTGTAAACTGTTTTCCAAGAAATGTTTTGAGAAGAAGTTAGTAAAATTGTCTTTTGTGCGGGAAGTATAACATTCAATTTTATAACATTTCAATGAGCTATTGTAATTATTTTTTCAGGCTGGGGCAGATATTGAGGCTGTTGATAGGAAAGGTTGGACTGCTATGTTTCACGCAACATACTCTGGCCATCAGAATATTGTTAGATTCCTGCTTGATAACAATTGTAATATGGAGACAAAGTAAGTCATTTTGTCAAACAAGTTCAATTCATTTTTGTATGTTTAAGGAGCCGCATCAAAATGTAACTAGGCTACATTTAAGTTCTGTTTTTTATCTTTAAGGAGGCTTATTAAAAACTGATTGCAGTTATGCAGGTTCTACATGTATTTTCTATGTTTAGGGAGTCTTGCCAAAATATGGCTCATGCAAGTTCTATTTTCTATGTTTAGGGTCCATCTCATTCATGCAAGTTCTACTTGATATTTTTAGAGAGACTCAACAAAACTAGATTTATGCAAGTTCTATTTTCTGTTTTTGTGGAACCTCAACAAAACCTGATTTCATGCAAATTCTATTTTTATGGTTAGGGAGCCACACCAAGACCTGCAAGTTTAGTCTGCTTTTGTTTAGTAAGTCTCAACAAAACCTGATGTTATTTATGCAAGTTCTATTTTCTGTGTTTAGAGAGCCTCAACAAAATCTGACTTCTTTCATGCAAATTGTATTTTCTATGGTTAGGGAGTCACACCAAGACCTGCAAGTTTAGTTTGCTTATGTTTAGTAAGTCTCAACAAAACCTGATGTCATTTATGCAAGTTCTATTTTCTGTGTTTAGAGAGCCTCAACAAAATCTGACTCCATTCATGCAAATTGTATTTTCTATGGTTAGGGAGTCACACCAAGACCTGCAAGTTTAGTTTGCTTATGTTTAGTAAGTCTCAACAAAACCTGATGTTATTTATGCAAGTTCTATTTTCTGTGTTTAGAGAGCCTCAACAAAATCTGACTTCATTCATGCAAATTGTATTTTCTATGGTTAGGGAGTCACACCAAGACCTGCAAGTTTAGTTTGCTTATGTTTAGTAAGTCTCAACAAAACCTGATGTCATTTATGCAAGTTCTATTTTCTGTGTTTAGAGAGCCTCAACAAAATCTGACCCCATTCATGCAAGCTGCAATGGAAGGACATGAAATAATTGTGCAAGACTTCCTACAACATGTAAGTGTACCATTTTGAAACATATGTGCATAATTAACACTCATCAGTTGACTTAGGTATTTTCAGATTGTTTGAGGGGCAAGTGTATTGCAGTCGATGTGTTCAATTTGCATCATATCACCTGTTAAAAAGTGAAACTTCATTTTCAATATGTGAAATAAAACATATTTAAGATCTCAAAATTTTGTTCACAAATATTGTCATCTGCAAAGTTTAGCCACTTTACCCCAGTTTCTTTTATTCATTGGACGGACTGAGGTTTTGTTTTAAAGGTCTGTTATGATGCAAAAATCTCTGTTGAATTGGATTGCTGTAAAATCAAGAATTTTAACTCATTGCACCCAAATGTATAAGAATTGATTTATATCAAAATTACCTGCAGCTGTCTTCCAAGTTTCATTGCTAATTGGTTCAGAGTTTACATGCACTGGATTTGGACTTCTGAACATGGTGTGTACTCAGTAAAATCCCCCAACCCCTATTAGTTGATATAATGATATAATCCACATGATGTAAAAACATATAAATGAAGCATGTCACATTCTCTTTTGACTGTTTGAAACAGAATATTTTTGTTGATATTTTCAATGTTACTTTATTTATCAAAGCATGCAAGAATGAAAAATTTATCCTATGACAATTTGTCTATTCTAGCAATTTTGAGAAATGATTTCTAGAAGTGCTGGCACTATGACAATTAAACTAAATGACACTGTTTAAAATCTGGTAAAGATAAATTTCAAAGTATTTTAAACTTTGTTATATATAAAACATGTGAAACTTGAGATTGTTTCATCATTCCTTGATGACACTTATTCAATGAATTCATTTGTATTTTTTATAACAAAAGTTTACGACTTACAAAAATATTATTGTAAGAGAGATTTCGCAATGCACATAAAAGCATGTTTATAAATCTCTTATATTAATAACTTGAACTAAATCATAATTTCTTGCGTAGCACTATCCATTTATACGGAGCCATGGCATATAAAATGCTGTTTATAATTGATTGAATACTTATCTCGTTGAGACATACTTTGCTTTCACTTATGAGCGAAATCTCTCCATTAACAGAAATTTTATCATTAACAGAAATGTTATTGATAACAAAGATGTTATTATTAACAGAAATGTTATTATTAACCTAAATGTTATTCTTAACAAAAATGTTAATACAATGAACATTCCATAGCAAAATGTAATTCATCTTTTATAATGTTTTCCCCAGTTGGGAACAATATTTACAAAGACATGATACTCAGGTAGTGGTTTCCCATTGACCTACTTTGTTTTGAAGGTCAAGACCTTCATAACTAATAATATAATAATATTAATACTTAGTTGATAGATTGATACCTTTGGAATTCTAATATAATTTTCTAAATACATGTACAATAATGCTGGAGCTTTTTTCACATGATGTTATGCTTATAAACTTTTGATTTATTGAAAATAAAATAAAAATACAACCATATACATCTGAAATCTAAACTATTAAACATGATTTTGATTTTGGTTGCTCCATCTAAACTAATAATTCAAATTATTAACCTATTAAAAGGATTATAAAAACAGTGATAATCTCAAACTTTCACTTGATTCGAATCATTGGTCCATTATGCTAATCTTTGAATACCGCAATAGAATTTTCTTGTTTTCATAGTGGACTATAATATACAGTAAAGCCTGTTAATTGGAACACCTCCAGAAGTGGCACACTTTTAAGAGTCCCAAGACCAACTGACTTAGTGTTAAGCAAACCTCTTTAGTGAAACACCTCCCAAATTGAACAATTTAGAGGCACCAAAGGTGTTCCACTTAGGCAGGTTTTACTGTACATGAATTAGGATGTCTTGATATACCTTCCTTATATTTTAGTTTAAGACTGTGTATATATTAGATCACTATATTTACTATGTACAGTGTTTGTTTTATGTTCAGTTTGGTTAACATGCTGTTTATACCACAATCATTATGAGCAGGGTGTGTTATAAGGTTTAAAGACCTATTGATCAAAATTTGATTATAGACCAGTTGCCTTGTCATTTTGCTGCATGTGATTAAACAGTCAGCTATTCCAGATTGCCTACGTTCCTGCAAGCCTCTAAAAGCTTATGTCACACCATGCTGGTTATTAATTATCTTGTCTTAGCAAAGCCACATTGTATTTTTTCTCAAAACAGTCTTGGAAAGCCATACGTAAATTTGTACATATACATGTTCAAATCAAAACATAGAGCCATGCATGACATGGCAAGTGATTTGAGACAGTCTTATCTAATAAGAAAATGAGGCACAAAACATTTTGGAAATATGTGGATATATACATAATGTCCCATAGTCCATGGATTTCACAGAGTTGAATTTATATTTTTGTTATCCATGGAACACAGTGTTATTACTCATTATTATCAATTTTCAGTTTATACATTTTTCTCAAATAAATCTTGTTTGTTATATGTCATCTTATAGTTTGACTGTCTTCTTGTCTCATCGGTCTGTCCAGAGACATATAAAACATTTTGTTTTATGTCTCTGGTCTGTCATATTATGTATCTGTATTCAGTATAGTCTAACAGGTCATAATGTGCTTAATCCTCATCATAGGCTCAATGTAGTTCAAGTACCTTCAAGGGAGTATTGGTTTGCTATGCCTTCATAATAACAGAGCTTGGTTTGCATTATCATATTCATACAGCCGTATGGGGTTTCTGATCAAATGCCTGTAATTTCTGTCTTTCTGTAATTTTTTCTGTATTTAAAATACACTTATTAGGATAAAAAATCATATATCTGTTGTTAATTGTACAGGTTGGTGTGGGTCACTTTCTACAATAAACTAACAACTAGCTGTTTAATGTTCCAATTTTGATAAGATTGAATAGCAAGATCAACATTAAGCAAAAATGTTCAATTCTTCACATTTTCCCAATGTTAACTTTGAGATCATCAATCAGTTGAAATGTCCAAGTATAAGTCTGAGTTTGCTCTATATAACAACATGGAAAATACAGATTCTAATTCTTGACCCTCATCAATCAGTTCAAATGCTCTTGCATAATCAGGATGAAAATTCCCTCCATATTGATAAGCCAGGTCAAAAATTTCTTTGAAATAAGACACGGCTTCAGTGTACAACCCCATGCTTTGGTGTATAATACCTATCACTTTCAATGAATTGGTAATATCTGGGTGAGGTTCATTGTTGTGGATCTCTCTGTACATTTCTAGACTTTCATGGTGGTATTCCAGTGCTTTAGTCTTATCTCCCATGTCATCATACACATTGCCTATGTTGTAAAGTGATCCAGCAACATCTGGATGGGGACTGTCCTGGTAGATTAGTCTTCTCATTGTAAGACTCTCTTGATGATACTGCAGTGCTTTAGTCTTATCTCCCATGTCATCATACACACTGCCCATGTTGTTAAGTGATGCAGCAACATCTGAATGAGGACTGTCCTGGTGGATGAGTCTTTGCATTATAAGACTCTCTCGGTGATACTCCAGTGCTTTAGTCTTATCTCCCATGTCATCATACACACAGCCTATGTTGTTAAGTGATCTAGCAACATCTGAATGGGGACTGTCCTTGTGGACGAGTCTTCTCATTGTAAGACTCTCTTGGTGATACTCCAGTGCTTTAGTCTTATCCCCCATGGCATTATACACATTGCCTATGTTGTAAAGTGATGAAGCAACATCTGAATGGGGACTGTCCTGGTGGATGAGTCTCTCCATTGTAAGACTCTCTTGATGATGCTGTAGTGCTTTAGTCTTATCTCCCATGGCATTGTACACATTGCCTATGTTGTTAAGTGATCTAGCAACATCTGGATGGGGACTGTCCTGGTGGATGAGTCTTTTCATTGTAAGACTCTCTTGATAATACTCTAGTGCTTTAGTCTTATCTCCCATGTCATTATACACAATGCCTATGTTGTTAAGTGATGAAGCAACATCTGAATGGGGACTGTCCTGGTGGATGAGTCTTGTCATTGTAAGACTCTCTTGATGATACTCCAGTGCTTTAGTCTTATCTCCCATGTCATCATACACATTGCCTATGTTGTAAAGTGATGAAGCAACATCTGAATGGGGACTGTCCTGATGGATTAGTCTTTTCATTGTAAGACTGTTTTGATGATATTTCAGTGCTTTAGTCTTATCCCCCATGGCATTATACACATTGCCTATGTTGTAAAGTGATGCAGCAACATCTAAATGGGGACTGTCCTGGTGGATTAGTCTGCTTATTGTAAGACTTTCATGGTGATACTCCAGTGCTTTAGTCTTATCTCCCATGGCATTATACACATTGCCTATGTTGTAAAGTGATGCAGCAACATCTAAATGGGGACTGTCCTGGTGGATTAGTCTGCTTATTGTAAGACTCTCTTGGTGATACTGCAGTGCTTTAGTCTTATCTCCCATGGCATTATACACATTGCCTATGTTGTTAAGTGATGAAGCAACATCTGGATGGGGACTGTCCTGGTGGATGAGTCTTTTCATTGTAAGACTCTCTTGATGATACTCCAGTGCTTTAGTCTTATCTCCCATGTCATTATACACATTGCCTATGTTGTTAAGTGATGCAGATACTCCTATTTTATCATTGATTTTTTCACTTGTATTCAGACTATCATTATGATGTTTCAATGCTTGTGAATATTTGCCTTGTACCTGGTATAGTATACCTATTGCAGTATGTGTATTCGCTAATTTCATTTTATTTCCTTCTATTTCAAGATTTTGTAGTGTTTTTAATTCCATCTGATAAGCTTGTAATGCCCTCTCAAAAAAGAAGACATCCTTGTATAATTCTGCTTTCACTTTATTGCTCCCTTCAAAATATCTGTTGCTATAAGCCCAGTAGCCACTCACATTCAAGTTTGATTTGAGGAATTCATACCATGGTAAAAATGTGTTAAAAAAACGTAGTATGGCTGTATAACTTCTAATTGGTATTATTTCTATTTTTTCATTCTCTACCAATTCACTTTTTAAGAAAGATATGAACTCTTTCTGTTGCTTATATGTACCGTAGACCATATGTCTAAGATTTATGACAGAGATCACCATCAGTTGTAGATCCTTCATTGCTCTTTCAGTTAGGATACCCTTCTGTTGCAGTTCCTCTAACACGTCTAGAGGAGGACATGCTGTACATCCATGCATAAGCTTTAGAATGTTGATAGTGATTGTAGCAAATCTGTAGACATCATGCTTTGTATGCATTTTCCTTATGAATGATTTTGATGACAGAGGATTTTTTTCGTATTTTGCTAAGTCTTCTTTCAGTGTCCTCATTGCACGTTCTCTACCCATTGTGATGTCTGGATTGGTTTCAGATGGTGATGCCAATATGGCATGTACTTTCTCATTGTATTCCTTCCAAAGAGCATAGTCTCCAGTGATAAGAGATGATGTCATGAGGACGTCACTAAGGTGGTAACCTTCCTTAAGGGATTCATTTGTAAACTGAAACTTACTCATTTCATCAACAGTCATGATAAGTTCAAGTTTGAGAGGTTTATCAGCATCTTCTCTAGATTTCCGACCAATAGCTGTCTTGCTTGCATATGGCTGTGTTCCATCAAAAGACACTCCCCTGGTGGTTGCTATGTCAAAGAAGTCATTGTTTTTCATGTCAGATGGTAAGTGGTTATTGTAATCTGTAAGAACTGGTATGTCCAAACAGTTAAGCAAGGTCTCACCTAGGTTAAGTACCTTCAAATGCATATAATATGCTATCATAGGCAATTGCTTTTTGACTTGGTCGTCAGGTTTGCCCAAGGGATCATACAGTATTGCCCATTCAATGTCGGAATATGCAGTGACCTCATTACGTGATATTGAACCAAGCGCTATAAATGCAAACTTACAATCAGGCTTTCCTAAGACAGAAAAACAGTCATTGATGATAGACTTATAAAAATCTAAAAGTTGTTGCGTAATTCCATTATAGAACTCTTTACTGTGCTCTATTGTGTTACCCTCATCTTTATCTTTCATCTCTGTGGTCACATCATCAAATATCATGTCTTTCTTGATGATGTCATTTACTGTTGTGTTAGAGTACTCTCGTATCTTTTCTAGCGCTTTTTTGTACTTCTGTGTTGAGACTTTTGTTGATAATTCACAATGTTGTGCGACACAGCATTTTTGTACAAAGTTGTTTTCTATAAGTTGAAGCTGTTGGTCAATGTTTTCTAAGTCTTGACTCAGAGCTGTGTCAGTTTTTTCAGCGTCAGCGTCATTCAACATCTCAATTCGGCATTTAGCAGCATTGTACAATGCACAAGACCAAACATAGTGTTCATACCAGATATCAGAGGTCTCTGCTGATTTGATATACTCTTGTCCAAGTTGACACATGAAGTCTGCCTGTTCTTTTAATTCAGTGCTCTGATTACATTCATTTATTTTGCGACCAAGTTCATACATTTCTTTGGTCACTTCTGAAAAATGAAAATGTGTAGACATAATGTGCCTGTTTCAATATATTTCTTAAAAATGTTCCTTGGTGTTATGGTCTGGGATTGTGATATTGGTACAGGGTGTTAAAAAAACGCAACAAAAACGCAAGATATCGCTATATCTTGGAAAATACTAATCCAATTGTGTTCATCTTTTCAGGAAAGAAAGAAGGGACTGTGTGTGTATAGCTCCTGCTGTTAGTTGGTTGTAAAACATGATGCCTCAAAAGACATTAGTATTGGAAACATACGCAAAACTCAGTCAGAGGTGACTGCCACAGCAATAAAAACTGAATAACTTTCTAACCATAGTGTTTTTGGCACTTCAGATTTGGCACAAATTATCCTCATTCAATGTGTGGTGAATTTGTGGAGTTTTATCAAAATCACTCCTGGGACTTTACAGTCATGGTCAAAATGCCTTCTTAAGTCTGCCTGAACCAGGGCATTTGACTGCGTTTTGATAGCATTTCGACCATGACTGTAAAGTCCCTGGAGTGATTCTGATTTCACTCTAGATATTTACCGTACATTGAATGAAGATGATTTGTGCCAAATTTGAAGAGCCAAAACACTATGGTTAGGAAGTTATTTAGTTTTTTTGTGGTTGCAGTCACCCCTGACTGGGTTTTTCGTATTCTTCTAGTTATGTCCCCACCATATAGTGTGGGGCCATATTGTCGGCCTAGGCGCGTCCGTCTGTCTGTCCGTCTGTCTGTCCGTCTGTCTGTCCGTACGTCCGGCAGTTTTCTCCAAAACCGCTACAGATATCACCTTCAAATTTTCAGGGATAACTTATGAGTGCATACAGATGTGGATGAAAAAAAATTAACTCGATACCTACTTCCTGTCGGCCATTTTGAAGTCAAATGCTAAAATCCTTGTCTGCAAACTTTAAGAAAAACGGCTTCACAGTTGCTTTTAAAACTTTAACATCTTGTTCAGCTCACTTCATTCTAGATCTGATTAGGTTTTGGACCTGTTAGCTCAGTCATGTCAGCCATTTTGAATGTTTTAAGAAAAATTAGCGCACAATAATACTTTGTATCATATTGAATGGTCAATTTTGAATTTTTCAGTTTTCATACTTTAACTTTTTAGTAGCTTTATAAATAATTTCAGGTGTACTTTGTTGTAAAAGCCTATGTTATTGTTAACAGTAGTTATATGTGATAATTTTGTAAAACGATTTCAGCAAAAACTCATAATCACTTTTTTATTGTCGGCCATTTTGGATTTTTCCGTCCTAAAATCTTGTCTGTAAGTCTTGTCTATGCGTTTTCAGGTGAACCGTTTGGTAGATCAATTTCAAATTTTCAGGGATGATTCTTAGTATGAGAATCTAGATCTGATTAGTTTTTTGGCATTCTGGATAAATGTCAAGGCAGCAATTTTGGATTTTCCGTCTTAAAATCTTGCCCGTAAAGTCTTGTCTACGCGTTTTTAGGTGAACCGTTTGGTAGATCAATTTCAAATTTTCAGGGATGATTCTTAGTATGAAAATCTGGAACTGATTAGTTTTTGGGCATTCTGGGTAAAAGTCAAGGCAGCCATTTTGGATTTTCTGTCCTCAAATCTTGTCTGTAAAGTCTTGTTTACATGTTTTCTGGTTAACTGTGTGACTAATTTTTTGGCATTCTTGGTAAATTTTAAGGTGGCCATTTTGAATTCTCCGTCCTCAAATTGTGTCGGTAAAGTCTTGTCTACTCATTTTTAGGATAACCATTTGACGGGATCATCCATAGGTGGGGACATATTGTACACATTTGTGTTCTTGTACAAATATCTTTTGAGCAGGTGTGCAAGGCATCATGTTTTACAACTAACCATTTACAGGAGCTGATACATACACAGTCTCTCCTTTCTCTCCTGAATAAATGAACATAATTGAATTAATATTTCCAAGATATAGCAATTTCTTTGGGTTGTATTTTTTAACACCCTGTACTTGGATGGTGGGGGAGGGGGTATTAGACATGGTTTCTTTTCAGTTAGATTATGGGATAGTTGGGGTTTGTTTTCCCTATGACTGGTATACTGCTCAATATGATAAAGGACAGGGACTCTTTTTGCATAAAGGTGATTTAAAGAAGAAGGCTGTAAGTTACTTAACTTATCTTCCCTTTAAAAGAAAGATAAATTATGCTGCAATTTTTATACCTGCCTAAAACCAAAGACTTTTCAACAATATAATATATTTGTACTTGATTTTGAAGTGTCTAGGTTAGGCCAAGTTGATACTTATCTGAAGAATTTCAGATAATAGTGTTTTGATTTTGACTTTATCTTTTAACCTAGTCAGATGTCATGTATCATATTTCATGTGAATGATATCTTAGAGTGCGTGGCACCTCCCAGGATATTGATTTTTTTCTTTCTTAGCGGCAGGGCCAAAATATTGATATCCATATATGGAGATGAAAGTAATTTCATTTGGACAACAACTCCCAACACTCCCCTCAAGAGGAAAGCTTGGAACACTTAAAAAGTCATTGATTTTCAGTGACTGTCAAATGACTTGAAACCCATGATATTACATTAATTAACACATTACCTTTATATTTCATATACAGATGATATACTATAGCAATTCATTCTGCTTGATAGTTCATTTTGG